CAATGCCTAGGTTAGGAACTTTCTGAGGGCTTCGCTCCAGCCGTGCCTGGAGGGAGACTGATTCCTTCCTGTCAGTGTAAAGGCTGTAGGCCTCTGCTTTCACAAAGAAAACCGTATGTGAACCACACCTGAACTGATAAACTCTCCTAGTCAAACAACAAACAAACAAACAAACAAAAAAACCAAACAGGAATTACCATAGGATGAAGCTCAAATACTAGCAGAGTTCTTAGAAACAGACATCGGTTGGAATCCACAGATTCCAACATCAGGACTTTCTAGTTTCAATTCTGGGTGACAGTGAGCAAGCCGCTCAATTTCTTTTTGTTTTAGTTTTTTAACTCATTCTTTCAAAGACTGCAGAAGCTAAGGTGCGCGAAGCACTTTCCATATTGGGCAATTAACATTTTCTAATGTTAGCTATTATTATTTTTAGGTATTTTTATTATCAAGAAAAAAGTAACTTTTCCAAAAAGAACTCTACTTAATCATAAGAATAATCCATAACCACTGTCATCCCACACATTTCTGACAACCTTGACTTTTAAGTTTTTTTTAAGTCCACTATCGCTCTAAGTTGACAGGTACTTTTCATTTGTTTCTTCATTTGAAATATACTTGCCACATATAAAGATCCCATTTCATTCATGTATATATAATAGTTTTGCTACTTTCTTTCAATGTCATAGAAGAAAACTATTATCTGTGGGGACATAATTTTGACAAAGTACTTAAAATAACAACTGCACACCACAAAGTATTAGTCCCTTTGGTTGACCCATTTTAACTATAACTCTCTCTCTCTCTCTCTCTCTGTCTCTATCTATCTCTATATATATAAAACTAGTAAACCAGAAGATTACCTACCACACTACAAAGGTGTAGAACTCTCCAGAGTTGTATCAAGGACTCCACCTTCCTGTCTACAAAGGCAAATCTCAAGAACTCAAGGAGAACATCACTAGGAAAGGACTCCTTTCCCCCAGGGCACAAGTTGCCCCAGGAAATAGCGAGTATTTGTTTTATTAACCTTTCTGAATTTCAATGAGATTTCTCAATGTTCCAGATGTAATGGGTGCCTGACCAGACAGGTAAGAGCTGCCTGAGCCAAGCCATCAGGCAGTACCCTCCCTACCTGTTCTCTCTCCAGCTTCCTCTCCGCAAAATATCCTCCCTTCTCCACCACACAGAGCCACGCTATGCCTTCAAATTATTTTAGGAAACACCTGTAGAGACTGTGCTTTGGTATTTCAGTATTATCACAGAGTCACCTAAATTAGACATAGATGGGCTAAGAGCTGGCCCGTTTTCATTAGCTCTCCAGAAATACAAGAACTACTACATGCAAGAGTTATTAAATAGCTTTTTAGGAAAATGCCTTTCACATTGTATCTTTCATGCTTAAACTGTCTTTCAATGCCTTAACAAGCTAAGTTACTAAGCGTTCTGCCTAATAACTGAAAACATCTTTTTGCTGCTTGCAAGAACCAACCTTGAACAGAGACTATCTTTGGACAGCTCTCTTTCTTTGTAATAAATTGAATGGTTCAACAAGTACTAATTTCTGTACTGGTCTGAGATACTTTTAAAAAACTCCCATGGAATATGAACAAAACAAATGTTGACTGTTAAGTGGCAGGTCAGTCGGTGCCAAAGAGCAAGTCATCATCTGACATGAAAGATACTTCACGCTCTTTGAAATGCACTTTTACTGTGGCTTCACTACTGAGGTCCATGAAAGAGGGGAGGGAACATCAATTTTTCCTACAGGCACAACCAGAAGGTGGAGTGAGGATTTTTTTTTTTTTTTTACTCTTAGTCCTTCCCTCAGGCGCCCGAACATCAGGCTGATGAAGAGAAGCAACCCCCGCCTCTGGTCTTTTGCACAAACACCTCCCACTAAACGCTCCACACCTGTGATGAGGGGCCACCATTTGCCCTTGCTGTGCTCAGAGCTGAGAGCAAGGTAAACAGTCACATAAGCCAACTCCTTGTCTCCAACATGAAGAAACCGAGGATACAGGTGAGAGGGGCGACAGGGGCGACAGGGCTTTATAGGAGGTGCGATGTAAGACAGTGAGCTGAGTGAAGAAACAAAGCAATGAAGGGACAAGCAGGAGGACAGGGCAGGATACCCTAGGGTGGGTGTCAGAAACTCTTCGTTCTGTTTCTGACTTCTCGCGTCCCCTCATCTCTCGGGGCTGCTTTTCCGTATCTTGAGCGCCTACCCTGATTGCTCTCTCAGATCCCTTTTAGCTCTCAGCGTCTTTCATTTCGGAAACAAAAGAACTCTGTGACGCTACTCAACTTGGCAACGCCAGAGCTATTTTGCCAAGGCTGCCCAGTGTTCACAGCGCCACCATCACAGAGGAGACCAGGAAGGTCTCTCGCACAGAGACTAACACCATTTGGTGCCCCGATCTGCATTTAGGGTCCCCTTACCACAGTGCTGGAAAGAGACAGAGGGCACAGCTCCACCGAAAAGAAGCCCCTACCTTGAATCCAGAGGTTCAGATAAGAAGGAACAAATGTGGAGAAAACTTAGTAGCAATGCCCCCCACCCCAGCTCCACAGGCAAGAGAAAAGTGAGCATGTCCTCAGTTGCCCCGGGGGCCTGTAAGCATTTGGCTTTTTTCTAGAAGTCTCTTGTGAAACATGAGACAATCTACCTGGGGCTATAAACACTTCTGTATATCACACTTCTCATTTCTGCACTTTTAATTTTTCCCTATACCCCAAATCCATTTGGCAGGAAAGACTCTCTGAAGCGAATCTCCTGGGTTTGTCAAAGGGCCTTTCTCCTAACAACTGGTTCTTTAAGTTGTAAAACAGCAGGGGCCTTGTACACTGTGTATCCAGGCAGCCCATTACAATCACCAAGACATATTTTTCCCTTCTGACTGCCTGTTCTTAAAAGTCAGAGCAGCCACCAATTTGTGTTTTGAGGCTCAACCACCTCGTCAGTTCCGTGAATGTTACAGGAAATGCTGGCAGTGAGGCCTTTTCTACACCTCAGAGAATAACGAAAGCGGAGGGTGAACTGGGTCCGCTGGTTTAAGATTCTTCCTCAGCCAGGCCAGCCTTTGAATTGTCCAAAGATGGCTGCTGTTACTGTTTGTAGAGTTAGGGATTGGACAGCCCCTGAGATGAGCCTTTCTCATCCTGCACACCAGCCTCCTTACACCTCACAACCACCTTGCCCTGAGCCTGAGGCTTGCCGTGACACATGCTCGCTTCCTCTCTCTGGTCCTCTGTGGAAAGATACAGCCCATTGGTATTGGTGTCATGTTTAACACAGGGCTGGTCTGTGCCTTTAGGTAGCCATTTCTACTCCGTTAACTGGGAAGTGCCGCGGTGCTGCCTGGGCTGTGCGACAATGATGTGGGCCCGTGTCTTTGGTCTGCTTTCCACATAGAAAGAGGATCATGGGTGTGGACAAGTGCTAGGCTTCCTGGAGTCTGAGCATAGCCAGAAAGCTTCAGTGGGCTTAATGAGAAAAGGCTGGAGGCTTCCAGGGAGAGAGAGGAGTCAGCCATGGAGCCCACCACTGAGCACAGCAAATGCAGGCAAGGGGACCCTGGTGGGCTTGGGGGCTCTCTCTGTGGGATCCACCCCTCAGGGGCACTGGGAAAGTGGCAGTAGAGAAGGGAATGGTTCTAAGGGATGATCCAGATGCAGGAGGTTTTGGTCAGGCCCGCAGTAAAGGGTGTTGCTCTAGCTGCCATGATCATGGACGGCTCTGTAGAGAGCTACATACCAAAGGGCTACCTTAGTACCCCTCCGCAACCACCACATTGAGAAGGTCATGTGGAGGGAGCTGGGCCCCAGAGGGCTACTGTAGAGCCCCACAGAACCACCATATTGAGAAGGTCACGTGGAGGGGACTGTGCTCATTTCCTGAGCTCATTCTTTATTTCCATAGCATCGTTTTATTTGATCTTCTAAGAAAGCTCTCATTATCATTATTTTGCAGAAGAGGAAACTGAGCTTCAGAGAGAGGCCTTGAAACTTGCTACAGCCTGAAGTACTCGTTTGGTCCCAAAGCCCTGACATTCTCTTTCCATTCTACCTGGTGTCCCCTGAATGGCAGCTTCTAGTGACTGTAGGAAGCCCCATTTTTTTCAATCCTCCAGACTCTGAGAAGAGAGGACTCTCATTTCCCACTTGGGACCTGGCATGGTTTGGAGACATGCGGGTGCTGGGCCCAGGCTGCAGGTGGCCCACAGACCCGGAACTGCAGGCCGGCGGCTCCTGAGCCAGGGTGTGGCTCTGGAAGGCAGTATTACTCTCATGTTTACTCAAAGATAGTCATTAAGTCACTGTGAAGACATCTTCTCTGCAGACTAAACAACCTCATTCCTTTTTTAAAAAGCTTTCCCCACAGGAGCTATTTTTTTGGGTCCCATCTTTCTATATTTACTGGTTTCCCCCAGGCACTCCTCTACCCCTCCATTCTCTATTTTAAACAATTCTGTAATTGGCTTTTTTCGGGGGGGGGCACTGGGGATCGAACTTGGGTCCTTGTGCTTGAAAGGCAGGTGGCAGAACCACTGAGCTAAATCCCTGGCCTGTAACGGGCTTTTGATCTGTACCACAGAAAGAAAAGGAACATATTCATAGTTTTCATCTCCAGCCTTAACAAATTAATAAAGAGCTAGCACGGATGGTAATCAGCCCCCTGTAGTGCACTCGAATCCTCAGGCCTCTTTGGGCCGATCTTGTACTTGACCAATGTCCATTCCCTGTTTGTTTCTAACCCTGTTGAACTTTTCTGTGTATTTCAGTGATGACTCCTTGGTCTCACCCAGTCCCCAAACAGTTCTAACATGCACACGAGTCAGGCTTATTTCCAGGGACCCCTAAGGGGATGTTCAAAAAGAGCCCAGTGCCCAGAGACACCTTTGAGGAGTAAGAGCGTTGACAACAAACTTCCTTCTCCCTGTAGGGATCTGAAATCCCTCCCACTTCCCCCCAGGAAGAGGTTTCAAGGGGCCACTTACTCCGGGGTTCTCGGGGTCCATCCACTGTGATTTTGATGGCTCTGTGGTAGGTAGCAACTTGAGGAGGGTTTGTGAAGACGGTGATGGTCAGAGTGAAGCTTTTGCCTGTTGGGACACAAAACAGAGCAAAAATGAAGGAGGGGAATCTATCTGCTGGGTGACTGATCATTACTTTACGCTCTCCACCTCTCAAACCGGGAAGGAGACAGGACTTCAGCACACGTGACCGGTGTCCCATTCCTGCCTTGAGTGTGGCTTTGCTAACATTCTGGAATGCACACCTCTGCTATTTCGCCAGGTAGGACACTTCTCAACTCGTAAATCTGCCTCAGTCATCAACAAACAACAGGATCAAGAGAGACTTGAACTGATTTTCTTTCAAGTCACGACTCCAGGGAATCCTGCGAGTCAGACTGGTAGCCACTCACTCCCAGGCCCTCGTCTTTACCCCTCTGCCCATATCATCCTCCCCAGTTATTTTGTACAATCAGGGCAAGGAGGAACGACGAGGCCATGCCCATCTTTTTCCTCTCTAATATTGTTTATACTTCTGAGGCATAGAAAACTTAGAATTTCAAAGTTTGAAGATTTGCTAAATTAGAGTGATTGTCTCTGTGTTTAAAAAAAATACTAATTGCTGGTTGATTTTAAATATTATTTACAAATTCCAGTTGTTATGAGAGGCATTCATAATTGGCCAGAATGACTTCTGGTCAATAAATAGACTTAAGGATATGTAACTTATAGACTGAGATTTAACCAGTGCTGTTAATAGAAACATGTACCTAGGTCTCCATGTAAATATTTTACAGATACTTATGAAAGGCAAGCTCGTCTTTATTGCCTTAGTTTGCTCATTTCAATGCATTTCTTCTTGACCAAGCGGCACTGAGGATGGATGCTGGCTAACTGGCCTTTAGCAAGTCCCTAGATCTAGACCTCCCTGTGCTTCTGGGTCCTTGCCTGGAGGATGGATATATGCATCCCTACCTTACAGACTTTTGGTGGAGATGAAATGAACTAAGATGAGTGAAACCACTAGAATACCACCTGGTATTCAAGGTGCGTGTGGGTGTTCATGCACTAGGTCTCTTCTCTTTTCTCAGAGTTCTATAATGGAATCATAATGTTTGACTAAGCATGCCCTTAAATCCTGTATCTATATAGTTTTTAAGCAACACAAGTTCTTCTCTTAATCAGGTGATATGAAATAAAATCCAAAATAAATAAAAGAAAACAAACCATTGCCCATCCACTCTTATCTGCTCCAAAAAATCACTTAGTATTTTAAAACTCCACTTTCTCCTCCTTTACCCAGATAGAAAGAACAGAATATTTTCCATTGTCAGGCATGTTTTAATACAAAGGAAGGCTACAGAGAAATGTTCAATGAAACTGTAATCTTTGACCACAGCAAACCAAAGATTCCTGACCATGCAAACCTTCCACCAAACAACCCCCAAGGATTTGTACTCCATCTCTTAAAGTCTGTGATGAAAGGAACAGAAAGTGACTACCGGAGGACAAGGCTGCCTTGCCCGGCGTGGCACTGTACTCAAAGTCTCAAATGATCTGTCTGAGGGAACATGTGAGGATGTTTTCTGGGCAGTGGTGGTCCATGACGCATGGGGAGGCCCCATGTCTGAAAGTCTTCTGATCCTGGAAGAATCCAGCTGGACTTTATGGGTCTGCCATCTCTAGACCAGGGAATACTCACGAGGGGCTCTGTCCCTGACACAGAGCTGGGATGGAAGGCTGGGCAGAAGAGGCTTAGCTTGGCCCTCCAGGGAGGGAACCCAGTTAGCTGCCCATCGCTGTGGTCAGTCTGGCTTTCTAACCACAGGTCACGGGGTGACGGCAGCCATAGCCCTGGAGCAGCCGTATCCATGTGGCCAAACGCTGGTAAAGGAACATTCCCAGGGGCTCATGACCATCCAGCCCTCTCATGCAAGAATTGTGCCTTGATCATCACAACTGAATCCTGGAGCTGACTTCTAGAATCTTTTCTCCCTGGTAAGGCCCTGCCACTACCACACTGCTTCTCCCTCCTCCTAGCCTTGTTGGTCTGGATGGGCTTTGTACCGGTCTAGGCCTAACATCTCTGAAGGCAGACGTCACGTTCTACATCCCGAAGTGTCCCTCACACACGTGGGAAAAGAGGACAGCAGGAGGGGACTCCAGGGTGGAAGAAGCTTCGAATGGAAAACATAAAGTACCTAAGGACACTAGCACTGGACAGTGGCACTGCCCAGTCCTCACAAGGCCCAGGGTGTATACAAGCATGCGTGTGCATGTGTGTGTGCACAGAGGTGTGTATATTTGTGCATGCATGTGTTTGTGTATTTGGGTAAGCATGTGTATGTGGGTGGGAAGAGACAGAGAGCAACCATAGGTTCCTCCAGCAACATGGGCTGGATTCTGGTACAAAAAGTTTCACCTCCCTGGGCCTCAATTTGCCAATCTGCACAAGGAGGAGGTTGGAAGGATGGCTCCCGGGTCACTGGCAAGCCTGGGGCTGTATCTTCTCTGGGTGCCTGAGGGCTTCCTCTGCAAATCTGTATTAATTTCTTGTGGCTGCCAGAGAGTGGCTTCATCAGCAGATATTTACTCTCATAGTCCTGGAGACCACAAGTCTGGAATCGAAGTGCAGGCCAAAATGCGCTCCTTCGGCGAGTGGGGAGGGTCTTTCCTGCCTCTTTGCGGGCCCTGGCATCGCATGCAGTCCTTGGCACCCTATAGCCTGCTGTAACCCGTCTCTTCCTACTTTGTGTCCCCTCCTCCTAAGAGCCAGTCATGGATCCAAATCCAGTAGGACCTTGCCTTAATTATACTGTGAAGTTGCTCTTCCTAAGTTAAGAGTCTATTCTGAGACTCTAGATGGACTTGGACTTTAAAGGGACAATTTTCCACCCAGGACAAACATAAAACTTCCTAAGAATCCCAGTCAACACATAGCAAGTGTGTTTTACCTTCTGAAACAGTTCTGCCCCTGTGGTGTTTCTCCTACAGCTGTCCTATCCACAATTTCCGAAATGATAGCCACAGATGTTTGTGTTCCTAATACTGGTATTTCGAGGCCTCTATAGAACTTACAGCTTTTCAAACACTTTCTTATGTACTCTCTCATTTGTTTTTCACAACAATCTCAGGAAATAAACAGCACTGATTTCATGGTTTTTAGTAAGTGGCAAAGCCAAGACCCTGAGAGGTTAAGTAATTGTCTCAAAGTCACACAGTGCATGCGTACATCAGGATTCCAATCTCTGAGCTTTACAGTCACCCATCTTTGCATTATTAGTACTAGAGTCCTCCTATCTCTACATGCGAATTGTGGCACTAGCAGCAGGAATCCAAACTCATGATACTTTAGCCGCTCTCGGACACTGTGCCCCGAAAGTGAAAACTGCCCTGGTGACTCTAATGTGTACAAACTGTCTTTGACAGCTGTGAACCTGGGTTAAAGTTCAAAAGCAGTTCCTTCCTGGGCTGAATTTGGGCTCTGGCAACTGAACACTCATGACATCCCCTTGGTTAACCACAGGCTAGCCTGCTTGCGGAGAAACTCAGTCCAAGTGAATATTTGCAAAATCATTGCTCATCATCATAATTTTTATTATTTTACACTCATCATTTTAGGTGTAGTCACAGGAGTTTCCAAAACACCGCAGCCAAAGCTACCACATAGGGCTTTTCCATCTCACTACCAGGGTCACTGTAGGGGAGCTGACCTGGTTGTATCCCTCGCAATGCGTTCTGCCTACAACTCCAGCTCACAGACCTCTGTCTATTATCTTGTAGACCGAAATAATATTCTTTCCTTTTCCCACCAGGCTTCCTTCTTCCAGCCAGACCTGGCACCAACCCTGACCACAGGTTGCAGGTAGCCACCAGGCGTGTCTGGTGAGTGCTCTGCCCTCCACCCACCCATCACAGCCCTGCTTAGCCAGCACCTGCAGAAATTAGGGCTGTGCCCCGGAGCACACATGTCATTAACCAGATTTGCTCATTAAAATGACCTGTGGGCCTGGTATTTTAAGTACGTGGGTGTGGAAAGTGAAAGACTCTCAAGTGTTTTTCTCAGCGAGCTGCAGTCGGAAGAGCAAGCAAGGCATCAGAGGCAGGCATGGAGAACAGGTCGGCTGAACAGCCACAGCCCCATCAGCTCTGTAGGGCCAGACGCAGGCGCCAAGGGGCTGGACCGCCCCGTGAGAGTTCACATTCATGGACGCGGCCTGGCTGGAGTCCCTGTCCTCCTGGAAGTACCCGCTGGCCGTGGCTCAGGAGACCGGCAGAGGCTCAGATAGGGCACCAGTGACCCCACGGCTGCCCCATGGGTACCTCTGAGAGGTGTCAGCTCTTGGCTGAAGGGGGACAGTGGGGTCACAAGTGCCCTGCAGGAGGAGTTGCAACAGCAGTCGCTGGGAAATGAGGAGCACTGCGGCCTTCTGCAGACACACAGAAACCTGGCCAAAAGCTATCTGTGAAATGGATGGCCATAATGGGCCTCCCAGCTGATGGCCTTATTATGCAGGTAAAATGAAATAGAAAAGCAAAGAATCAAGCAAGCTTTTAGTAAATATCCGTGAAAGCATAAAGACACAACGAACGTGATTCCGTGAAGACCAGAGAGCTGTGTGCGTGCAAGGTTCCGGGAGGAGGAGCAGGGAGGAAGTGGCAGGGGATGTCGGATGGTGGGAAGTTTGTGCGTGTGTGCACACGGGGGTTTGCATGTGCGTGCACGTACATGCAAGGTAGCAGGTGACAGAGCTGCTACGAGGCCCAAGTTCAACTCGAACTTCAAATTCACTTCTGCCTCGCCAGCTGGTAACCATTGCAAGGCACGACGGTGACAGGCTGATCCGCTGGATAAACAAGCCAGGCCACAGCAGCATGTGTCATCTCCCTTGACGCCAGTGTGTCCATCTAAAGCCAGGACGAAGTACAACTGCTTTATTTAGTCAGGAAGAAGGTCACGGGGTGAGCCTTCCCGGACACCTGCTGCCGTGGCACACTCTCCAAGGCCAGGCGGGTCGGGGCTGGAGAGAGACTGACAGCCACCTTGCTGCTGGTGGACCCCGCAGTTCCACATGGCCCCGCACCCTCTA